CTTCCTTTTTGAGTCTATATAATTTTCTATTGTGTGTATACAAAACGTGTTGCTTATTCCTTCATCCATTGATGGACACTTGGTCACTTCTATGTTCCAGCTATTGTGAATAATGCTGCTATGAACATGAGTGTTCAAATATCCTGTTTCAGTTCTTTGGGGTATATATTCAGGAGTGGAATTGCTGGATCATATGGTAATTCTATTTCTAATTTTTTGAGGGACCTCCATACTGTTTCCCACAGTGGCTGCACCATTTTACCTTCTCACCAACAGCGCCCAAGGGTTCTAGCTTCTCCACATGCTCACTAACACTTGTTATTTTGAGGTTTATTTTTTTTAAAAGTAATGGGTGTAAGGTGGATCTCATTGCAGTTTTTATTTATTTTTCCTTAATGATTGTGATGCTGAGTATCATTCCCATCTTTACCAATTAAAGGAATTCCCTTTTATTTCTAGTTTGCCAAGAAGTGTTTTGTTGTTGCTCATAAACAGGTCTTTAACCTGATAAAATGATATTCTCATCAACTGAGATCATCACATGATTTATCTCCTTTAGGATACTGATGTGTATAAATTGATTGATAGATCATCTAATACTTACCATTTTGGCATTTCAGGTATGATCCTGAAATTCTTCCACATGCATTATTTTGCCATTTGTTTTTTTTTTAATTTTGCAGCTAATATTTTATTTGGCATTGTGCTTTTATAATCATAAGGAAATGGCCTATAATTTTCTCTCTTTGACTATAATCTTCTGAATTTAGAGTCAAATGGGCTGGTGAGCTTTAGCTTTGCTTCTATTTCCCAGAAACTTTTTCAAAAGATAGAGATGAATAATTCTTGAAAGTTTGGTAGACTCACACACATGTGAAGCCATAAGAACCTATTTTCGGTTTTGTTTGTTTTGTTTGTGTATTTTAAGGAGGGTCTTTCACTACTATTTCAAAACTTTTAATATGACTGCTCTCTTTAAGAACCATATTCTTTAGTTGATTTGAGAACTTCTTAAAATTGTGTTCAGATGGCTTTAAGTCAATGAACTAAAACAATGAACTATAAACTTAAGCTGAGAAGTTTTATGTCCACCTAAAAATTTACTAGGTGGTAGGAGGGGAGTTGTGGACAGTGAGAGAGACAAACCATTTGCCACATGGAATAAAGTCAGGTTATACATAGAAGCCAGGTGTCACCTGTTTTAGAGCCCCATACCTAGCACCCAGTGCCATCTGCTCTTTTTTTTCTTTTTTTTAAAAGATTTTCTTTATTTATTTGAGAGAGAGAGAGCATGAGCTGGGGGGAGGGGCAGAGGCAGAGGGAGAAGCACACTCCCCACTGAGCAGGGAGCCCGACATGGGGCTCGATCCCAGGACCCCGAGATCATGACCTGAGCTGAAGGCTGACACTTAACCAACTGAGCCACCCAGTCACCCCCCATCTAGTCTTTCTTATCAAACAACTTCCCACAAACTCACATAAAAACTCACCCAAGGAGATAGTTATCACTCCTATCCACAGGGATTGGTCTGCCCTGGGTCTTCTAAGAGTAGCCCAGTCCCAGGGAAAAACAACCTAAGGTCCCAGAGGTCCTGATACTGACTCTTCATTCATCTCCCTGCTGTCAGTGAGTCACAAACCCTTTTCAGCTTACTCTAGCCAAACAAGAGGAGGAATCTGAGAGCACACTTTTCCCCACTGGCTCTTCCCACACCACTTTCCCAAGCTTCCCTGGCACTTCCAGAATCAGAAAGGGACCATGCTAGTTTGGAGGGCTGTCACTCCTGAAAGTTTCCGGGAAAGGGAATTCACAAAGCAGCCCACTCACACCCCAGGATCACAGGACAGCAACCGCAGGGGAAGGAAACTGGAGTGTTCTCTGCTCATGCTCAAGAACACAAAGGGCAAAAACCACTCTGCAGCCAGCTGACCACTGCCTGACTTCATGAAGGCCAGTGTCAGGCTAAAGCACCAGGCTCTGGAGCCTGCCCCTGCCTGAGGGTGCCTGAGAGCTTTGGACAAACAGGCCTCTACTCTGATGGTTCTTGGTGGGGTGAGGCAGAGGGGAACTGAGAGTAGGGTTCCTGGTTGCCCCCGATCCCTCCCCTGAAGGAGGTGAGCTGGGAGGGAGTCTGAAAGGGTAGGCTGGAGCAAGATCTAAGCTGGTTTAAGACAAATCAGGAGTCTGAGGCCTCCTCTGGGGTCTTGACCTTGGCCACCAAAGAACAGTTGACATTCAACATCCATACTCTTCGCACAATCCTACCTTATAAAACATGTGTTTAAAAACTGACATATGTGTAGGTGTATATATTGCCAAGTATGTACGCATCCACATCATGAGAAGTCCTGTATGATCTACCCAAAATTTATAATATTAATTACTAAGTATTGGTTTGGGTGGGGTTTTTTTTTCAATAATTAAAAAAAATTTTAGAACAGTTTTAGACTTAGTGAAAAATTGCAAAGACAATATGCAGTTTTTCACCCCATTTCACCCGCTGTTAACAGTTTACATTATCTTGGTACTTTTGTGACAACTCACGAAAAAATAGTGACTCATTATTATTAATTAAACTTCATGTTGTGTTCAGATTTCTGCAGCTTCCTGCCTAATGTCTTGTTTCTCTTCCAAAATACTTCATCTTTTTCATTCCTCATGTTTCTTCATCTCCTCTGGGCTGGGACAGTATTTCAGAATTTCCTTGTTTTTTGTAACGTTGATCATTTTGAAGATAAGCATGCAGATATTTTGCAGGATGCTCCTCAGCTTGGGTGTGTCTGATGCTTTTCTCACAGTTAGGTTAGGGTTATGATACGATGGCAGGAGAACCACAGAGGTGAAGTGCTGTTCTCATCCCAGCCAACCAAAGGTGTATGCTATTGCCCCGCCGTATCACTGTGGATGTTAACCTTGACCCCCTGAGTCCTGTGCGTCAGGCCACGCCACCATAAGTTTGCATTTTTCCCCTTTCCATATGGTATCCTTTGAAAGCAAGTCACTAAATGTAGCCCATTACATCTGTTTTTAACTTTTCTGTTAACTTATCTGTATTTTTCAGATATTTTGCAATAGTTAGGATTTAGCTTGTTCATGAGAGTATGGCTAATAAGGCAGCTTTTAAAAGAGAAAAAGGCCTCTTGCTGGTCTGGCCTCTCTCACCCTGACCCATCCATATCTCTCTCTTTAGTACAGCAGGACCCAACTAGATAAGCTTAATGTAGACTGGAGTGCTTGAGTTGGGTTTTATGACTGTGGATGCTTATGGGGTTGTTCCTGATGTTTTCAAGTTTAAGGACAAGGCTGTGTTCCACAATGGCTGATCCAACTGGCTGTACCTTTATCTCCTCAATTTCAGAATGGAAAAAAAAATCCATCAAAAATATTCACATTTGACATTCTGAAAATAAAAGTCAGTACTGAAAAGATATTCTTAAGAGTTCCAAAAAATATTAGCTAAATAAAAATCACACAGAATGAATTTGTATTTGTTAGTTTATAAGAGAAATAAAACATTCCTCTTTGTTTTAATTTATGAATGAAAATTATAAGCTTATGTTAAATAAGGAATTTAACAAGACAATGGTCTCCATTTTTGTATCATGGCAGGTTAGGGAAAGAGAATGAAGGGAAGAGATAAGGACAGAGGAAATGTAATATAAAGGGAAAAAGAAAGAGAGGTCAAAAGAGTGGGAAGAATACATATAGAAGTGGTGATAGAGGTTTTAAAATACACATTGAAAAGATAATAAGATGGTGACAAATATTCCTATAAAAATAATAACAGAAGCATTTTACACTAAAAAGAAGATACAAATCTTTCCTTGCCTAAGAACGTATGAAATTCACTGTTCTTATAAAAGATACTGTCCCACTTTCTCAGTTCCTCCCAAGCTCCTTGGAAGAGCTGCCCATACTCCCTATGTCCTCCTGTCACGGTCCCTTCATTCCTCAACCCTCTGCCATGTGACTCCTGTGCCATTTCTCCATTCAATCTGCTCTGCCAATCACCTGCCGGTTGTCACAGAAAACAGCGATGCTCCTCTGTCCTGGGTCCCCACCTGCTTCTGTGGCCTTCACCGACTTTCTTTTTTTTTTTTAAGATTTTATTTATTTATTTGAGAGAGAGAGAGAATGAGAGACAGAGAGCATGAGAGGGAAGAGGGTCAGAGGGAGAAGCAGACCCCCCGCTGAGCAGGGACCCCCCCCCCCC